AAAATCAAGCAAAAAAAGAAATGGAAATAACAATCATGGCTGGTAGTTTTAAGCACTTACAATGCAGAACTCTAAACCCTTTAAACGTCTTATCTCAATAAATCTTTATAACTTTATAAAGTGTCCTGAGCTTTGAAGCATGAATTTGATGCTTCTCATCCTGAGTGTAACTTTAGGCAAGTCAGTGTGCTTTATATTTCACTCTCTCCTGTCTTTCTGTGATTAGGTAGAGAAAAAAAATCTTTACTTAGGAGTTCTCTAATCAAACCTCAGTCTGTAATAATTAAGCTGAAGTTTGTCTTTGCGCTCTCTGAAAAAATGCATGTTAATAATGTGATAGTAAATATTTATCCTTCTCAAGAGTTTGCTCAGGAACTGATCATAGTCTTTTATGATCTTGTAAAGAAAGACTCAGAGTAAAATAGCCTGAGAAAGAGGTAGAAATAGAGAACAAATGTAATCCAATAAATGCATATCTGACAGAAAAGAAAATGGAGTAAAAAACACACCCAAAAGCCCTCTTCTTCCTTGAGGGAGCCACATAATTATCTCCATTTCAGAGATTAAAACGGAGAAGTTTAGAAGTTTAAGTAACTGGCCCAAAGACAAGCAGGTGATCGTGCAAAGATTCAAACCCAGGCAGTCTGGCTTTGAGTTTGTACTAACTATGTATGTTGCCTCCCCCCCATGGAAAAGATCAAGGCTTTCAAAGAGCGAGAAGCACAATGGACTAGTACTCAGCTATTAAAGATGAAACTGCCTCTTCTGGAACAACAAGGATAGATTTCAAGGTGGTATGCAAAGTGAATGAAGACAGACAGTGAAAGACCAATATTGAATGACTTAACTCATTTGTGGTAACATAAATAACCAAAGAAAACAAACTGGCAAAACACAACAAAAATAACCCCTAGACTCTGAAAACTATGGTGGTCACCAGAGGGGAGGGGAAGAAAGGTAGCAGGGGCAATGTGATCCGGCACTGGCACTGGAGTTTTGCACGTGCACTTACCAAGATGTGAAGTTGTACTCCCAAAACTACATACATAGTTATAGATACAGTAAATCAATAAAATTTGATTAAAAAATAAATAAGAGGATGAGAAAGAGATAGATATTAAAAAACAAGGTAATCCAATAAATGCATAACTGAAGAAAAGAAAAGAAAATGGAGTAAAAAATAGTATTTAAAAAAATCCCCACAATAAAGCAATACTGAAACCTGCAGAACAAAGGCCATACTGAGTCCCAAGAAAAATTGATACAGACTAATCAATACTGAAATATACCTGGTACAGACACTGAATGTCAAGGACAAAGACATAAAAGCATTCAGGCCAAGGGGAAAAGACTCAAGTCACTTAATGATAGGAACAAAAATCAGGCTGACTTCTTCCCAGTGACATACATTTTAAAAATTACTGAAAGATTATGGAGCAATATAGAGAAAGTCTTCAGCAAAAACAAAGGTGCAAAGTCCAAGAACTCAGGCTATTTTACGCTAAGTCTTTCTTTACAAGATCATAAAAGACTATGACCAATTCCTTGGCAAACTCTTGAGAAGGATAAATATTTATTTTCACACTATTAACATATATTTTTTTTTCAGAGAGACAAGGACAAACCTCAGCTTAACTATTACAGACTGCGGGTTTTGATTAGAGAACTCCTAAGTAAGGAGTTTTTCTCTACGTAATCACAGAAAGACAGGAGAGAGTGAAATACAAAGCACACTGATTTGCCTAAAGTTATACTCAGAATGAGGAGCTGGACATCAAATCCATGCTTCAAAGCTCAGGACACTTCAGCACTCTCTTCTCTGCTGATTTCTGCCACCACCCAGATTGTTAATCAATGAAAGATTTTCAAAGAATAATAAGAGAGGGCATTGATTTCATAACACATCAATATAAATTAACTTCCCACAACTACATCACTTTCCCATTTAGAAAGACTGAAGATTCTGAAGATTTAGCTTCTCCTAAATGGCATAGTGAATGCATAAATAGAGCTGCAACTCAAATATACAGGAAAATATACTATACTGTATATTATTTTATAACACATTATACTTTACATAGACTCTACACTCTACTGCAATTAAAGGCACAGTTCACATCAGGGATTAGTTTAGGCAGTGGAACATAATCAATCTAACTTACACATAATAAAACAAGCCAACAATAAATTATGCTCTGATAATCACTTCAGTGTTTGACCTTCAAACTTTTAAAAGGACTAAAAAATAAATATACTTAAGAGATAAGGTGCCCAAGCTGCTTTATGAATACCACATTGTCTTTCTATTATTAATTAACCCTTCCATACATGTGAGCCAAACACTTTCTAATTTCCATGATGAGCTTAATGGAAAGGCATGTAATACATCACAACAACTGCTTTTTCTTCAGGGAGTAGTCCATCTCTGTCATTAGTCCATATGACATCAGGCCTTCCTGCAGGTATCACACTGTGATAAATGATCATGGTGCTAACAGTGATAATAATAGCAGCTAACACAGATTAAATAATTAACATAGGTCAAAAGTTAACAAACCTCCTAAGAACTTCCATCTCTTGAAACATACCAAATAACTCTGCAAGGCCAACATGCAATCATGTATATGTACATAATACATGCTCCATGACAACATTATTATTATTATATTCAAGTCAATGGATTTGAACTCAAGCCCGCTCTTAGTCACCATCGTATGCTGCTTAGTTTCATGTAAAAATAGTGAACGTATTGGGCCTCCCCTGGTGGCGCAGGCGGTTGAGCGCCGCGCTGTAAAGCTGTCCACAGCCTCTGCAGTGCCAGTTCGATCCCGGCCAGCCAGCCAGGGTCCCACATGACGCGTCAGATCTCTCCTGTCATGCCCGCTGCTCCCCTCAGCAATGTATTTCTTCAGTCTGCCTGTTCTGTCCCCCACTCTGTCTCTGGTGAATCCTCTCACCCTCACGCGCATCTGGCCTGTACCCCGGATCTTGTGTAAATGAATAAATCTTTAAAAAAAAAAATAGTGAACATATTAACCAAGGTGACATGAAGTAGTTAACTAAGATGACATGAGTAGTTCAAATAGACCTAATTAGAGGATATCCAAAAGAGCCCTGAGAAAGCAACTTCTACTAATATAAAAGTTAAAAAGTCTACTTTGTGTGGGAAGAGGAAAGGCACTGGGACAGGGAAAAGCGAAAGAGTACAGGGAGTGGAGGGGAACCCACATTACATAAAAGAACATATGGCTATAGTAGCTAGGCACAAAACAATGCCAAATGTCCCCGAACATTCAGGCTCAAGCTACCTTCCAACTGCTTTTCAAACTCCCCTGTCGGCTGACCAAGTTGCTGCAACTGAGTATACACCCAGAAGTAATAACACCACAGACTCATGATGTGAGAATGCAAAAAAGCTCAACAGTTCCAAAAGCAAGATTTTCTTACATTCCCATCCTAGGAGAACAGTAATTACCTACTCTGAAAAGAAACAACCAATCTATAAGAAAAAAAGAAATACAGCTTAATGTCTGATATGACACCCATGGGCGCTAACTGTCTGACATCTCATCACTCCCCCTGGGAGGCTGACATTCTACATTAATGATACACAAGGCACAAACCTTGTGTAAAGAATTACACAAGAATTACATTAATTTTACGTAAAATTACGTTAAAGAATCCCAAGGTAAAGGTACATTTAACTCCAATGTTCCATAACCATAAGATAGATATTATCAGTGTGTTCTTTCCAATGTTCTAATGAGCCAGTGTACAACAAAATCTGAGGTCATAAGGGGTGGGGACAGAAATGCATATTCCTATCAAATTTATTTCCAGCCTGGTTTCATCCAAGCCACAATGCACAGACTGGAAGTTTCCTGGGAACAGGGTTCCCAAGTCCCCCCCAGCAGCCTCATGCTGATCTCCACCAAACACCCAACCAGCCCTTTTAAACAATGCCACTGAAAGCAACTTCTTTTCCTCTAGCATCTTATCTATCAGAAACAAATGTTGATAGCTTGAAGTTTTCAATTTATTGATGTAGAACCCTAAAAAAAAAATTAAAACCTTCAAATTTACTTGGGCAAAATAAACAAACTTATGAAGAGCAGTATTCTAGCAGCACAAACCTCCATTCTGGAGGTTTAAGGAGAAGAAGGAAAAAAAAAAAAAGAAAAAGAAAAAAATAAAACTTGGAGCTGCTGCCCAAAGTACTGAATTCGATCTGGAAGTTGTCATCACCACTAGTGCCTCCTCAAAGAATATCCCACACTTTACCAGCAACTGGCAGGGCCAAATCATTTCCCTCATACATGCTTATCCTCCAGGCTGACCCGACAGAATGAAAAGGCCAGGATCTAGAGTCTGAAGCCCCCCTCAAGGCGTTCCAGTCCAGGCTTTCCTCTACTCTGTGCGACCTTGGAGAAGTCAATTAGCCAAACACCTACCTCTCATTTTTCCCTTTCTGCAAACTAGGAGGGGAAATGCCTGTGCCACCTACCTCAGGGCTGCGTCAATGCTGTCACCGAGTGGAGAGGCTGCTCCTGGAGGCCACTGTCCGACCCGCGGCTCCCGGCCCCAGCCCAGGTCCAGCCCCGACGCCAGGCGCTGGACACCCGCGGCGCCCGGTGCGCGGCTCTCGGGAGGATGCTTCCCTCCCCAGCGCTGCCCTGGGGACGACGACGACGCGCGCTCCGACATTCGCCGCGCCCGCCCGCCCCGGGGCCACCGGCCCGCGCCCTCCAGCCGCGCCTCCCCGGGCGTCCCCCAGGCTCGCCCCGCGCGCGCGCCCCCCGACCTGCCGGGAGCCCCTCTCGCCCCCTGCCGGCGCCCGGACCCCAGCCCGCGGGGGCTGCACCCGCTAGCCTCCGCGCCCCTGCAGCTCCGCCCGAGGTGGAGCCTCACCCCCCCTCCACCGGCTTCTCCCCCAGACCCTAGTCTCCGGGCCTTCCCCGGCCTGGCGCGGGTGGGGTGGTCGCGAGACCGCGGCTCCTTACCCGGGAGCTTGAGCGCCCTGGACAGCACGGTCGCCATGGCGGAGGCCCCAGTGCGCGTGCGCGCGCCCGCGGCCTGCCGGGAAGTGTAGTTCGGCGGGGTGGGCGCGTGGCCGCGACCTGAGAAGGTGGGAGTCGCCCGGCGCCCACGTGCGCGGTTCTGCAGGCGCTTCTCCTACCTACTCCAAGCCAGATGCCCTGCTCCCGCCTGTCCCTTCGCCTCTAAGTCTCACTTTCCTCCGCAGTTGAAGGGGGAAGGGATAACCACCCCACAGACTTGTCGTGGAAATGGAAAGAGATGACAACTGTGAACGCAGGCGGGGGTTGTGAAATGCCTGTGGGCTTTGGAGTGAAACTGGATTTGAAGCCTGACTGCATCCATTACTACCTGGGTCCTCTTGGGCAAGTCTCCTGGTATGACTAAGCTTCAGCTTCAATTTTTAAATGGAGACAATACTGCCCACTTCACAAGCTTCCTGTGAGAATTAGATAATCACTTAAAAACACACAGCACTCAGTAGGCATCTATTACAGTAACTATGTTTAGGTTTCTTGGTTGCGCTTTCCTGGAGTTCTAGAGTCTCCTCTTGTTACTACTACCTCGCAGCTTTATTTATTAATTAATTTATTTATTTAATATATTTTTACATCATTTTTCATTTTTGCACAATGTATGCATTTTCATCTTTGTTATCGTCCCCGTACAAATTTCCACCCCCTCCTTATTTTGATGGTAATCCCTCCTAGCCACCCCCCCCCGTGTGTCTCTGGTTTATAGTTGTTTATTGATTTAGATTTTTCCTTTATTATAATTAGTCTTTTTCCTGGCCCCTTATAGCAGCACTATTTACAATAGCTAAGCTACGGAAACAACCCAAATGCCCAAAAATAGATGACTGGATCAAGAAGATGTGGTTCATATACACAATGGAATATTAGTCAGCAATCAAAAAAGATAAACTCATGCAATTTGCAGCAACGTGGATGGAGCCGGAAGGAATCATGCTCAGCGAAATAAGCCAGAAAGAAAAAGAAAAATACCGGATGGTCTCACTCATAGCAGGAATTTAGAAAACCTCACAGGTTTTTGCTGGAAGTTTCTAGGAGGCAAACTGAAACGCAGGAGTGCAGAAACGCTGGAGATGTTACTGATCTTAGAAGTGGAAGGGATGGTGGGGACCATTTCCTTCCACCCTCCTTGTTTTTACTGAAGAGAAAATGGATCTAGAAAGGTGATGTGAATTTTAGTGTCAAATAAAAGCTCTTAGATAACTCTCACTGGAGGCCCATGAGGAACTGTCAACACTAACCACCCCCCACCCAGTGTAACCCAAGAGACTCCAACAACCATTCCCACACCCCATTCTCCATGAAAACCTGTCACAGACCCTGACAGAGCCTGGCCACCTGAGTTCAAACCCCAATTCCACCACTTGCTGGCTGTCAGACCTATAGGGTAGTTGCTAAATCTCTCTCTGCCTCAATCTCACCTGTAAAATGGGGACCAAATCATTCCTATTCCATAGAGCTGTGCTGAAAATTAAATGGATACATGCAAATACTGCCTGATAACTACTACATGTTTTTAAAGGTTAGCTCTTCATTTTATTCATGATTTATTAGTGCTTTACAATTTAATAATTTAGCTTAATAGCAAACTTAGTAATAATTTAATGGGTTAATTGTTTATACAGTGATTCTATCAGCGTCTTACAACACTTGAAATTCCTCCTTTGCCACTTCTCTGGAGATAGAATTAAAAACCATATTTTACATCTATGTAGGTCATCATGTAGGAGAAATACTGCAAGTCACAGCTAGCCAGTAGTGTTTTGCCATGGGCAGGTTGCCACACATTCTTGAGATATGAAGACAGAAAAATCACCTTTAAATGTGATAAGGTATAGGAAATATTGGTTAAGTGATTGAATTTGCATTTCTAGGAGAGGGTGTGGCTAGACTGGAAGAATCAGGTTATACAGGGCAGGCAGAAAAGAGAACATCTTTCCAACTTTTCTGAGATGGGGTATACTCTAGGAGAGTTCCTTTTTAGGGGATACATTGGGAGTAAAATTAAATTCTATGAAGTTTAAAGTTTGATTAAAACTTTACTTCAAACTATATAGTTACCCAGAATGCCCATGTGGGTACATACACTTATAAATATGTATGAATGGGCATATCCCAGAGATGTGTCATCTCTAACCCCTCAGACGCCAATGTCTGTCTCTCTGTGGCATTTCCACTCTCCCCATAACAACCCCAGTTTTTGCTGATGTTTATGATTTCAGAGAGAAGGAAGCAGATGCCTCCCTCCCAGGTCCCCCTGTCTCCCTACTCTTTGCCTGCCTTGTCCCCTCTGGAGACCTCTTCCATCCCTCAATCATTTTTTCCATGTTAACACAGCAACTGTAGTACTTTTAATTCAGTTAAAAGGAAATACTCTAAGCAGTCACCCAATGAATCAGGATCCTTGCCTGCAAGTTCCTCTTCAGTTACCTGGTAGCAGGTGAGTACATTGGCTGTCCCAATACCTGCTGTGGAAAATGCAAATGCCTGGGGCTTCCTGCCTTGGCTTACCTCCCCTGCTCCTTCTCCAGGAAGCAAAGCCAGGGTGGCTGGGGAGAGCCACCTAGAGACAGCCTTGCCTGCTGGTTGCTGTACCGGTTATAAAGACAAGAAATCCTTCCTCTGAAAGTCTGTTCTTCCTACCCTGATCTGCAGTGGGAATATTGTCCCAAACTCCCCAGCTGCCAATAGTAGAGGAAATCCAGATTTGCTGCTTATTACCTTTGTGATATCCCAAGTATGACTCAAAATTTCTAAGAGTCCTATGTGGGCTCTTGATCACAACTGCTCATGTGATACCATTTCCTGGACCCAGTGGCCACTTCTGCTGATTCTGGCCCTCCTGCTAGCTTTCCCTGCTTTTTCTTGGAACCAGTACCATCATTTCCTTTCCTGGTACCACCGGGACTGCCAGGCCTCATGGCTGTTTCTGCCTCCCCTCTAATAATGCTTACTTCTTCCTGTATCACCCACCAGCCAATGCCATTTCATACCTTAGTGCTCTTAAAATGGCAAAGCTACCTCATAGATCCAGTAAAAGGGTAATATCCAAAATATGCAAAGGACTCAGAAAACTCAACAATAAAAAAATAAACAACCCATTTCAAAAATAGGCAAAGGATATGAATGGACACTTCTCCAAAGAAAATATACAGCTGACCAACAGGCACATGAAAAGATGTTCATCTCTTATTATTAGAAAACTGCAAATCAAAACAGCAGTGAGACTGCACACTATTTACAGTTGCCAAAATATGGAAACAAGCTAAATGCCCCTAAGATGAGTGGATCGAGAAGATATGGTGTATACACACAGTGGAATGCTACTCAGTGATCCAAAAAGGTAAACACATGCCATTTGCAGCAACATGGAAGGAGCTAGAAGAGATTATGCTAAGCAAAATAAGTCAGAAGGAGAAAGATAAATATTGGATGGTTTCTCTTACATAAAAAATATAGAGAAACCAAACAAAGGATCAGGAAAAAGACAAAACTTGCAGCTGACCATAGATATGAGGCATAAAGCAGGGCAGTGGGAGAAAGATGGGTCAAAACAGGGGAGGAAAGAGCACAAGGGACCATGGTGATGGATCACGGGTGCTGTGGTGTTGGGAGAACCATGGGGACTACACCTGAGAGAAGAAATCAGATACTTTCCAAAAATTAACAACAATGTAAGAAAATAAATTTAAAAAGCAATGTTTTTTAAAACATCTAATAAGTGGCAATACAAAAGCCCAAAGCATCGGTAAAAATCAATTTAAAGTATAAATGAAGTTTTCTGAAAATGTTATTATAATGCAAAATTAAAATGAAGTTCAGGGCCTCCCTGGTGGTGCAAGGGGTTAAGATGCAACCTATGGGGTCTCCCTGGTGGCACAAGGGGTTAAGCACCGCACTGTGAAGCAATTTGCAGCCTCTACAGCACAAGTTCAATCCCCAGCTGGCCAGGGAGAAACCCATATGGCACAGCAGACCTCTCCTCTCTCGCCCGCTGCTCCCCTCAGCAGTGTATTTCAGTCAGTCTGCCTGTTCTGTTCCCCGCTCTGTCTCTGGTGAATCCTCTCACCCGTCTCTCACACCTCTAGCCTACACTCCAGTTCTTGTATGCGTAAATAAATAAATCTCTAAAAAAAAATTAAACATAGGAATTCCATTCGAATTAGTTATCCCACTTATGGGTTTTTAATCCCAAAATGCAAAAAACTAATTCAAAGAGATATCTACACCCCCATGTTTACTGCAGCACTATTTACAATAGCCAAGAGTTGAAAAGAGCCTAAGTGCCTATTGACTGACGAAGGGGTAAAGCAGATGTGCTACACATACATAATGGAATACAGTTCTATAGAATTAGTCCTTGAACAAAAGATGAGGTCATGCATTTGCAACACCTGGTGTGGCCTCAAGTGCTTTATGCTTACTCAGACAAAGACAAACACTGTATGACTTCACTCACATGTGGTATATGGAGAAACCAAACAAACAGATGAACTAAATTTTTTTAAAAGTGAATTTGGACTGTAAGACCTATGAGTGGTTACCAGAAGGAAATGAGGAAGGGGATGGGTTACCTCTAAAAGTCAAAATCTATCCTTCCTCTTGTCATTTTCCCCTTTTCTGAGCCATGAAATTGTTGAGTTCCCTTGCCCTAGTTTTAAAGACCAAAAGTGAGTTGCTTTAAGACGAGATTTTACATAAAGGTAATCCCTACTTTCCTGAAATAAATTGTCTCATTTTATTTCTTTTTCTGACTTATAAAAATCTGAGTTTTGTTCTTTACCTGGGAGAATTTTTGTGGGTTCTTATGAGCTAGCTACTATTTGGCCACTCATGGGCAACTGTAACCTATTTGCTATCTGCAAATCACAGCAGAGATTCCTTGACTATCTACGTAGTACAGCTCATATCACGAGGCAGGCCCAGGGACACCAAGGCCGCTGTTGACCCGATTACGTGACTATCTCCATGGTGGTCTC